TTCTTAACACTATTTACATTCTTATTACTTCTAATCTTTAAAGTATGATCCCGCTCCTCTTATATCATATCTATCACATTCTTCGCACAATCCTCCAACATGTCCCTAAGAACAAAGATCATTTCCAAAAGTCCATCCTCCTTCGCAGTAAGTGGGATTTTTAAAGCATAATTCTATATTATCTGAAATTTAGTTTGGCCGCCAAAACCCAGCTTTAAGTTAAATTTTGTTAGAAGTAATAGCATCAAATTTATTTTTATCAAAAATAGAGCATTTTGTAGTGTTATAAGTTACAGAATAGAATCCCTCTAATGGCTGGCATATTTAACATCCAGAATAAATATAGAATTCCCCTAATTAGCACATGAAACTATTGACTCTCATTCTATAAGTTAATTAATCATCCTAATATGAAGTATTGCAATAGGCTAAAATTTCTTAAATTTTATTTTCCTGCTTATACGGATCTATGTAAAATAATAATGGACCAAGGTCAAAACCCTTAGTATCTTAATTAAAAGTTATTTTGGATATTTTAATAGATTCAATTAATTTTTCAGCATTATCATATATTTATTATTCTATAATGCAAGTTGAATTTTCAAAGTTGATCAATAATTCATTCATACTATTTTTAAACAGAATGTGTATATCATATATATAAGTTGAATATTTTTACTACTTTGGATTATAAAGCTCATAACTTTATATCTATTAACCACTAGGAATAAATAAGACATTCGTTGATTTAGTATGATCTTAGGATATAATTTTGTAAGGTTTTAAATATAGTATCTAATTTGAATGATTTTCAATTAATTGTTATTGTGAGAACATTTCTATTAGGTTAATTTACAAACTCAAGTGTTAAGGTAATTCATTAAGGTTATTTGAAGATGAGGCAGCAAAATTTAATAAGATAAGAGAATTAATAAAGTTATTTTTAGTTAAACTGCTATTCCCAAATAAATATATCCCTCCTGCCTCTGCTGCTTAATTATTACAAATTAAAGAAGTATTTATAGTAAATCTTTAAGAACCCTCTGAAAAAAAGAAGCCACCTCCTATTTATGATGCTGTATTATTTAAAATAATGGAATTTTTTAATAAAAATTGTTAATTTTTGATAAAAATTCCTGTTCCTAACTGCCCCATATTAGAAATGAAGATTGAATTATCAATTTATATTATACCGTCTATCTTTTTATCTGAATTTGCCATTACACAACCAAAATTTTTGATGTTATTCATAATGCATGATAGTTCTGAGATTAAAACTTTTTAGAAATCAATTAATTCAAAATATAGTAAGCCATTCCAACAATTTTAGCAATCATTATTTAATAACATAATTTTAGTAAATAAAACTTGAGTTTGATTAGTGTCGCTTTTCAATTTAATCAAAGATCCATTCTAATTCGAATTTGAAACAACTTCCTCGAAAAAGGTTGATCCCAAATCTTGTTAATCAATCTGATTTTTTAATTAATAAATTTTTAAACTGCATTAGAAAGTGTCAAGATGAATATAATTATAATTCAATTAGTATTAATTTAGTTTACTGAATTTAAAATCAAGAAGATTTTATATCGTAATATTATAAAAATGTATCTTTGATTACATGTCATTAATTTACTCGACATCCACTAAATTTAAGGGATAAAATATTTAAATATTTGTGAATATGGAATTCGTGATTTTGATTTATTTTGAATCCATAATTTTGATGATAGATGATATTATGATTCCATCTATATTTATTTGATTAAAAGTTAATTTACATCCAACAAAATTCATTAATGCATTTTCACTAAGCCATTTTTTCCGCCTTTCATCCTAAATTAAATTTTTCCAATGGCATAAAATAAAATTTATAAAACGCTTTCTCAGTCTAAATAAATTGTAAAATTAGTCTAATTTTAACCATTGTTTCTTTACAACCAGTTCCGAAAATCAGATTTCAAAATCTCAATATTTTAAATTAACAAGGGAGAAACAGTCCCTAGCAATGATATTTTTTAATTCTAGATTATTTTTTGAAGAAGATGGATATATTGAAAAGATTGATGATGATAGTTTATTTAAAACATCTGTTACAATAATATTATTAAGATAAAGTGTTAACAAGCTTTTCTTCCCACTAATTGTAAAAGCACCATCTTATTCTTAAGTTGATAATAATGAATTATGCACGTGATTAATAATACAGTCTGATATCATCACTATTCCATCTCCTTATAAATTAATGTTAAAAATTTGGCTACCTTATGTTTTAATAAAATTAAATAAACCATTATTAAGTTTAAATTTAGTCACCGTTGTTGATAATGCTCCTCCTATAGTTTCGATAGAATACGATTGAGAAATAATATAAGTAATTTCGGTTTAATTATAGTTATCTTAAAATTGAATTTCGTAATATTTAACCCAAAACTCTTGATTATTGTAATTATGATTTTAAACTTAAAAATTATCTATCTATATATCATTAGAAAAAATTGAAATATATGATAGAGAAGAATTTGTTAGAGAATTATTAGAGCAAATGATATTGTTCATCATTAAAGTGCCTTATCCTGAATCTATATAAAAAAGACTTGCTGAAGTTTCAGAAGGATCTTTATTATATTAATGAAAAATATTCTCTTCAAAGTATAATTTATCTAATTCAATGATTTAAGGGTTTTCTGTTTATAAAACAATTATAGAAATTAATTTTCCTAATTGTTGCTTTATTAATATGTTTCCTTTAACAATAAGGTTTCTAATTTTTATAGACTCTTTTGAATTTTACATAAAAAATGGATTTGATTAAATTGAAATGATTGATTAATCTATACTAAAAATGTTTTTAAGTTAAATTAAATTTAGAGTTATCTCAATAAACCCAGAAACTTGTAATAGTTATGAATGAGATATCTAATTTTATAGACATTCTGATGATAGCTGAACTTTTTGTTCCTGAATTGAATTTTCATAAATTAGATTTTCAATTTTTATTAAAGGAACAGATATTAAAGAAAAAAAACGATAATTTAATGTATTTTTTATGAAAATGTTTTAGATAGTTAAATTAAAGCAGTTAATTATAATAAAATGCTATTCTTAATAAGAAGTCATAGTGTTATCTTCAAAATAAAGGTTACTTAACAAAATATTAGTTTATTTTTTTGTTTACTTATATTCTGTAACAAATATTTAAGAATTATTAATAGTATTTCTTTAAATCTAAATTTAATTCAAATAAATTTCTTAGTTTTCAATGATTGATGAGATTTATGAAATAAATTAAAATGATATTAAAACATTATCCCTTATTAAAATATCATTAAAATTAGATTCATAATTAAATGTAATAAATTTTGAATTCATCATCCTATTTTTCAAAACTAAAAGATTATTGATAGTAAAAGTTGTTCTCTCATTGCTTTAAATAAAGCTTGTGTTAAAAAATAGCGAGTTTTTTATTTAGACATCATTAATTATTACATTAGAAATTTGATCTAGATTCAATGCGAAGTTAGCAATTGATGAATTATAAAATTCACAAGAATCAATAATAATATTCTTAATTAGAATGGTTCTTTAAGCATTTTTAAATTAAAATAAGGTTGAATTTGTAAAATTGCAATTCTAAAGGTTAAAATTATCAATTATGATAGTGTCACCAGAATCTGTACAATAAATATTAAATAAAATTGAATTTTTAATGCTACTATAAAAAATTTATAAATTCTTCAGATTTAAATTAAGGAAACTACTTCCTTGAACAGATAATGATATTGCATTATCTAAAGCTTATTAAAATCGAGTATCAATAAATTTTAAATCTATTGGATTGCCCCTGTTTTGAAATATCAAATCTAAAGAAGAGTAAATTTTAAATTAGATATTAATTAATACAACAACATCATATTTTAAAAAGTTCAAAGTAAATGGAAGAATTATTATAACAGGGGAATTCATACCTTAAATTTTCAATCTTGCTATTTGTAAAGAAAAAATATTTTCCTTATAAGCATTCTCAAGAGATTGATCATTACTGAGAAACTTGCAATCTTTTTTTTGTAGATAAATTGTAAGAGTCATTTCCTTAAGACCAATATTGTTAAAATATTGATAATTCAATTATGATTATACATAATATTATGTATTGAAAAGATTATTACAAGAAGTACCATCCTAAATTAAATAATAGTTTACATTAATTATTTCTAAATTGTTATTGCAATTGTTTTAATAACAATATTATGCAATTTATAAATTTGGATCAATTTGAATTTGTTCAAGAGGAACCTTTTTAAGGCATCTGTAAGTGTAAATTGTATTTTGTGGAATTGCCGCAAAAATATGGATTTATTTTCTATTTTATTAAGGTTAAATACATTTATTTCTTCATTTGGTCTAATTTCACAAACTTGACATAATGAGGAACATTGAAAACATTTTCCACTAGATTAACATCTTATTGGCTGTTAATAATAATCTAATTTACACTTGGAACATTAAAAATCGTTGCCACTAATTTTGCATACAGAACACATTTAATCACAATATAGACGACAAGTATTTTTTACCTTTTGGTAACCTGGTATGCATTCAGTGATTAAAGATCTCGGCCTATATACAGCCTCAGAAAAAATAGGTTTATTAGGTAAAAATTAAATTGTAAAGCCTTGAACTAAAAAAATCCAAGGATCTAAACCATTTTCTTCAAAACATTATTTGGCAAAATTCAAATTGCAAAGACTGCAAACTCCTGTTTATGTAGACACCATATAATAATCCTCACAAAGTAAGCATTTAAGAGTAGATTATGGAGTTTTAATGCATTGTTTACAATTAAGAATATGGGATTAACAATTTGTGATTTCAAGAGCAATATTAAAATCTTCAATAGCAGAAAGAGTACAAATTTCTTAATTTTCAAAATTAATATAAGATTAGAGGCAATTTTATTAAGACGGCTTCTTGAATATACACTCTCCAATTGTAAAATCAAAGATATACTCTTCAGCACATTAAGCACAGCCTTCTACAATTTTTTCTTCAATAAGAGAGTAGCTTCCATCTTCAATTTCTTCTTTAATAAAAGAATAATCATCTAAAAACCCTAAAGTAGTTCTCGTTGGATCATCTGCAAAATAATTAAAGCAATACAAACAATGTTTTATTTAACAGTCTACACAATTTTATTGGAAATTTTAATATTTTGGAAGTTCACAAGGTGAATTTAAGGAAGGGAGTATGTTTTGTTTGGACAGGCATTTTAAATTAGTTTGAAAAATTTAACATAAATTACAATTTCCTCCACATGTATAGCAGTTTGCATTTATTGATTCAGAGGTTTGACAAAAATCTTTAAACTAATCTAATTTTTCAATTTAGTCATATGATGGAGTCACTAATACATCGCAATCAGGACAGTATTGTAAATCAGTGCCCATAAAAAGATATTTTAATTTTTAATCCTGAATGTATTGTGATATATCTCCTTCTTTATTTGTATATAATGTTGTTTAGCAAAGAAGAGTTAAAGCCCATTGTTTACGATTCTATACACATTCCAAACATGTGATAACATTTTCATTTAAAATTGAAGGGCTTAATAATTATGAAAATAATACCATCATTAGCAATCACCTTCAATTTCGAAAAAACCACATTTGCATTCTTTTTTCGATGGATTTTCTTGATTTAAAATAAGGCCTAAAACCTAGTAATTAACACATTTATTATTCAAATCAATTGATCCATATTCGCAAATACATTACTTATAATCTGGTAAATATATTCTATTTGAATTTTTAAAACATGAAAGGCAATCGTCTTTTGTTGGACCATCACATTCTTAACAAGTTGGGTGGCAACTTACCTGTGGCCTAATAAAATATAAACAATTAAAAAATTGTAACCCAACAATTTTTATTGTTAGGTAGTTGGGTGAGGATTATAATAAATTTCCATATAATAGTTTAAATTACATTTTATTAAACTGTTAGACATTTAAGTTTATTTTAAATTCTTCTTTCTTAAAATTATTGTAAAAGGTTATTGAAACTGAAATTGAATTTTCTAATTTCTTTACTAATATATAATGCCATAACTTAATATTAGAGGTTACATCAAATGCCTTAGACTTTAAGAAAGGATTGCTTGAAAAGTCTATGTCGACAACAGGAAAATTATAGCTATAGGTTGTTATAATTATTTGGTTTTTGCTGGATGAGATCTTGTAAAATAGTTAAAATGCACATAAATTTTGTTGAATGAATTGTGGATGTTAAAAATTACCGCATAGTCTTATAAATTAATAATCGAATTCATCATCGGATAAATAAATTTCTTAAATTTTTACCCAACTAGCTAATAAAAATTCTTAGCAATTAGATTTTTGGGATACAAATTCATATTAATTTTATTTTTCTATGATTACATCTGCTATGCTGGTTTTTAAATTTTATTCACAAGTACAATCTATGTCATCCTAGTCTTCGATGAGGTTAATAAAATTATCAGCACTTAATGGAAAACAATTCTTAAAATACATAATATCTCCTGGAAAATAGGGATAGGATATCTCTTTCAAAAAGTTAAAGTGGAATATTTTTGGATACAATGAAACCACCTCCAACAATTAGATTAAATTTCTATTAATCGATTGGAAACTTTAATTAGATAGCTTTTTCAGATAGTTCAAACATTCCGTCCAATAAATATATTATGACTTGCTATTTGGAAGGATTTGTATAGAATCCTTTAAAGTACCAAACAAATTCATATTCAGTATAATCTATTAGAGTTTCTTCTTTAATATTTCAAACATCATTATCAAAAAATAGAAAATATTTAATGATTGTATTATTCTCATGATCGATAAATTCATAATATATA